TTATAACTTAATAATCATTTTTTTTCTTGAAAACGATTTCTTATACTAAATTTAATAGATATAAAATTCAAATCTCACCTGAATGTTTAGAAAAATATATACATCAACGTGTGAATAGAGGAGATACCAATGCCACTTTATTTTTTTCGAGATTCCAGCACGCAAGAGCAAGACTATCACGGCCGTCACAGTCACATTCACGGACAGCGACAACAAATGTTCACCACCATGTCTTGTTTTTGACACTACGTACTATTTTTTTTAAAAAAAAAAGAAAGAAAGAAACTTAAAACATTACAAACGTAAATATATAATATAAAAATTACATTATGCATGGAGGAGCACTCTGGGCCCAATCTCTCCTTTTGTTATGTATCTCGATAGCACCATGCGTGATGGCCCCCCCCCCCCCTCCCCCTGCGGCTGAGCTGATGCATGTGTTGCCACTTCTCCTTCCAACCCTCCCAAGTCTAAACTCTGCCCTACAATCTCCCTTTGTCTCCACGATGTAATTAAAACCCTACTTCAACAGTGGTGCCCATGAAGACCGTACTGGCTCAGCTCCATGGCAGTTGCAGATTCCATGGAAGCAAACTTGGCTAGCTCTTGTTGCAGGAAAGGTCTGCTCGACTCCCCTCCCACTCCCAGAAAATCCCTGGTTAATCCTCCTTCAACACTACCTTGGGTTGATTTCTTGTTCATATTCATAAACGAGCTGGAGCTCAATTCTCCCAACAGAGATCCATGAGATGAAGAAGACAATGAACTCACCAACTCGTTCAAGTTCTCAGCTTGATTCTGTTGTTGCGATGATGTCCTCTCGGAGTAGGGACTGCGGGCGGATGAAACGAGCTGGACCTGATGAGACGGCTGTGACCTGTTAGCCAACTCATTCAAGTTGTTATTTGGTTGCCTGAAGATGCTTGACAGAGATGAAGTCATTAAACCGAAACCAGAAGTACTAGAAGGACCGTTATTGGCTGATGGGTTGCTCCTTGCAGATCCCATCTGTGCTGCTTTTTGGAGGAGTGCAGTGGCTGACATGTGACCCTGGCTACTTCTATTATTATTGTTATTCGAATATAAACAAGTTATAGATTGAGACAAATTTCCTTTGTCTTCTTCTCTTTCTTCCTTTGGCATTCCTCGTGGCAATGGCGCCAATGTTGATATCGAGAGGTTATTGGCACCTGTAAATGATGCTTCTGGGTACTTGTATGATACTGATCCAAACATGTTGTTAATAGGTGCAATTCCCAAGTCAGCCAAGCCATTTGTGGAATTTGGTGCTAAGAAATTAGCATTGGAACTGCTTGCAATATTCCCAATTGGATTCAGTTGTGATGAATTGCCTTGGTCTAGCCATACCGGCAGCCTCAACTTCTGACCATCTCCGATGAGATTTCCCGCAAATTGGTCGGGCCCTGTAAAATCTGCCGTTAAAATCGAAGAAAGATGATTCATCCCAACAGCTACTTGAGGATTAATTATTGCCGATGAAACTGTAGTGAACCTCGCACTTTCTTCAGCCAAAGCATCACAGAATGCCCTGTGGGTTATGAAGCTATCCTTCCTATTTTGACGAAAAAAATTTTATGAGTATATATATATATACGTTACCAACCCATCATCAAGTACACGCATAACCCGAACAATATATATGAGACTCGAACATGAAATTAGTTTTAAGGTTATATATATTAGCTTTTCTGCATATACTATTTACTAAGCAAGTTATAGCTAGTAATTATATACGTCTAGAATTGTTCTTGTTCTAAGTTTAGACTGCATTAAATTCAAACAGAAAATGTCATGAAACAACGATTGTAGTATTTAATTAATTCTCCAACAAACTAATCATATAAGCAAAAGATTAATATTATGTTTATATATGTTACCTGGAAAAGAGTGTGCCACAGTCACATCTGTACTCTCTGGTGCCACAAATCTTGCTATGAGCTTTCCAATCTGATTGAACGGCATACTTCTTCGAACATTTTTCACACTTCCACTTCTTCTCCCCATGTTTTCTGCTATAATGCTTCTTTATTCCGGTAAGGTCACCAAGGGCCCTGGACCGGTCATGGTGGACGCAGGTCTTTTCGGGGCAGATGTAAACCTTCTTTCGGACCTCCTTGTTAGTTCTTTGCTTTAGCTTCCATGGCAGATTGTGGCCTCTTCTGTGGAGCTGCAAGTTCTGGTCCCTTTGGAAACCCTTATTGCAGATTTCACATATGAATCTGTTGGTAGCCATAAGTGATTTTGGAGACAAAGCTATGACTTCTGCATCCGGATCTGATTAATTAGAAAAACAAAACCCGGTTATAAAGGTCAAAAATTCAAACTTCTTCAATACACCTTTTTGACAATTAAAGAAACCCTATTAACTATGCAATAGCTGCTAATCGTACTTACTTATTTTTGAAAAAAAAAAATGTTACTTGCCTGGTGTTCCTGGCAAATTTCTCTTCTTCTTGGCCGGATTTGAAGTAGTAGAAGTAGGGTTAGGATTAGGGTTTGGATAATTTGGTTCTTGAGGTTGAGCAAACCCTGTAGGGATTGTAGATGGAACAGAAAGGCCATCTTGAGACATCATTTCTGCTACTGAAATTGGAAGTACCAGATTCAGGGTTTTGTCCGAAATTACCAAAACCAGAAGACCTAAGTCGAGAAGCTGTAAACAGTACCTGCTAAAACCGACATAAACCAAAAGCTAAGAAGCCTTAGTTCTTCTTTGCTTCAAAATAAAAAGTGTTAACGTTTTTCTGAATTTTTCTCTTACACACAAAAGGGAAGAAACCTGGGATTTGAAGCTCTTTGGTGTAACGAAAAATAATGTTTGTTCTTGGGGCCTGCACGAAGCCAGAAGAAAACTCCAAAAAGAAAGCTAGCTGGAGAGAATATTTTCTCTTGCTCTTTCTCTCTCTTATTTCTCTTTCTCTCTTTCTCCTTATCTTGGACGGCTGTCTCACTAACTCTAAGCCAGTCATTCATAGACTCGATCGGCTGCTGGACCACCGTCTCTAAGAATATACTATTTGTTATAGTCAATAAATATGGACATTAATTATAAGTATGTGTACAACTATTTGAACTACTCCTAATAGTACCATAATGCTAAAAAATTAGTTAACTAATAATATAGAATGAATGTAAAAAAAATTTTGCTGAAATTGATTTTTCTTTTAATGATCAGTGATGTTCTCGAATTAGTTTACATATATTTTAATATTAATATGTCTTTAATCTGATAAAAAATAATTCATTCATAATAAAATTTATAAGAAAATTACTTTTTTTTTTTTAACATGGGAAAATTGAGGGAAGGGAGACTTGAATCATGGTGATACCCATGGTCAAAGATGTACCCTTTCCATTATAGCCATAGCTGCACGTGCCAAAAAAAAAGAACTTTTTTTTATTAATCAACTTGAGAAATCAAATATTAAGCAGGCAAGTTTGGAGAGTAATTAAATTAAGTCACAACTCCTTTGATGACCATAAATGATTCAGTGCACCTTTGACTTAATTCAAAAAAAAAAACTGTAATTTCCCCACTGTAGAAGAAAAGAAAAGTTAATTAATTAGAAATAAAAGTTGCGTACTCATTAATTGACTTATAATGTAAGATAAGTAGAATTTTTCCTTTTAATCTATAGGAGTTTGATTATTCTAATACTTATACTATTAATTAATCCTTAATAAACATTTAATTAATTTAAAGTTAATATGAAAAGTTTAAACACCTTTTATAGTAAAAAGGCTAGAATCTTAGAATATAATTTTTTTTTTCTTTAAAGAAAGACAGGTATGAAAAGAGGGGGGGAGGGGGGGGATAAAACTTAAAAGTGAGATGGCTTTACATTAGTTTACAGCCAGTTTGATTGATTGATACTTTGAGGTAGGTAGGAAGGTTAAAAATGATTATGATATAATTGTATTAAGGTGGAGAAGGGGGGCAAAGGAAAGAGGGTGGAAAGAGGGGTGGGATGAAAAGAGAAATAAAAAGCAAAAAGGAAAGAGGCGAGAGGGTGAGGGAGAGAGATGGGGGGGCGTCCCGTGATCGTGAGGAGGGGCTGAGCTGTGGGACCTATGGAAAGAGTGTCAGTGGAGAAAGTTGATGTATACCTACATGCAAAGACAAGAGATAGAACAGTACCCCTTGCTTTGTCGACCATATCTGGTATCACTCACATTTTCCTCTTGAAATTCGCCAAACAGAATCTTGTCCGAGTTGACTCGCTACCCTTCTCTCTATATGTCTCTCTGCATCTTACTTACTTAACTCGGTTAAGCACAAATTTTTAACGCTTGAAATGGAATTGGGTTGAACCGGATCTTTTGAGGTAATAATTCGTCTTTAAATTTTAATATTTAAATAAAATTAATGAAAAATTTAAATTTTATCAACTACTTAAATATTTACAGTTAACTTAGAGATCATTAATGCTTCTCTAAATCATGAGCTGATCTATTTTCTCTTTTCCCCTTATAATCGTCCTTGTTTAAAAAAAAAAAAAAAGATTTGGGTTGTCTATGTAAAAACCCTTTGAGAGCGCAGTCAACTCGGACCATGTAAAATCTAATGTAATGCGTATACGTATCTTCTTTTAAAATTTCCTTCATAGATGTCTCATCAAGTTTGTTTCGTAACAAAATTTAAATTTGAAACTACTCAAATTTTAATATATCAAGAAGAAATTCTTTCAGATAATATAGAAATATTTTATTAATTAGTGTATGTCAAGACAGCCATAAGGGCGGGAAATAGATGATACAATTTTGCTTTGGATTCTCCTATCTCAAAATTCCAAAAGACATTCTCATTTAGCCTGTGATTGTAATATACACAGCAAGTGGGTTTTAAAAATCTTGAAGTTTTAAATCATAGAGTTTCACGTGCAAATGCCTATTCAGTACGTACCGACTGGGAATATTTATAAGGTGGGAAAAAGCAATAGCGGTTGTCGTTTTGTTCTTTAGCATTTGAGGAACACATAACATAAGAGTTGTTTTCATTCCGATAACATTGGGAGAAAATAGGCAATTTACAAGCCTTTGGGCTTAACAAACCTCTGTTTAGTTTAGCCCAATTAAGCTCAAACCCTAACCATCGAGAGTCACAGGAGAAAAGGGCTCAAAAATGGATTTGGACCATACATGCAGTTATCATTATCCGAATTGCCTTTCTCCTTTCAGTACATGTTTGGTACTCATACACTTCAATGCCATACAAATTAGGTTAAAACTAACACACTTGAGCCAAAATTTTGAAGTTTTTCTAGCTTATTTAGGAGGTAAAGTTAAACATTTCCCCTAACATCTCTCCATTGGACCCATTTACCAAACATGAAAAAGATGACAATTCTAACAAAACTTTAAATCTTCAATAAACAAGTTGTATATGGTACTTTTTAAAACTTTTTCAGGAACCAAAATATGTTTGGATGCTTTCCAAACCTGAAGAGTTCTGAATAAAAAAGAGACAAAGAAAAACAGAAATCCTCTAATTCTGTTCTACAGAACATGACACGAACAAGTGCAATAAGCATCAACACCTTCCAAACCGAACAAAAATTACAAACGCAAATCTTCTGGATCTTCATATGGAAAATTCGATTCAATACCCCTCTTTGAGAACGACTGGTAAAGGTTTGAATCAGCGCATATTTTTCTCGGCTAGTTTCGTTCACAACAAGAGAAGCCTTTCAACATGAAGACACATGTAATAGACAAAAGAAACCCATCTAGTATTGTATCTTCTTCTGTAGAAGATGACACGATTAAATCTATGTACAGAGTTTTCCTGTAATTTGACGTTGGTGTTATCGTTTTTCTCTTATCTTCAACAAGAATCTCTAAATACAAAGTCTACAACTGTTTCCCAAGATAATAATCCTATAAACTCTAATGCAATTGGACGCATTAGGCACTCAACAGCTTAGAGCAATGGATTATAGAACAAATACATACATACACAGCTATTATATAGATTTGGAAAAAAAGGTTGAAGAAAAAGACCATCATACTTTAGAATGAGGAAAGCTGTCAAGGCTGTGATATCTCGGATTTCATGTTGGCTTTATTACGTCTTTCCACAGGAAATAACATTCATTCGAATCTCCAACAGACCTGTGCACGGAGAGAACTATGTCATGATAAGGAAATGAGCCAGAAAAAGGAATCTTTTGTGCTCTTACATTGAACTGCATACAAAATTACAATAAAAATATGTAATGTTTGACAATGCACTGCATCTGACTCAAAATTTAGAACTATCTAGACAATTCAGATAAAAGATTTATACCGTGAAAGGATTCTTAAAACACAACGACAAATGGCTGATTTAATTTTGAGAGCAGTTTTTTATAGATATGAAAGCTTCATAAAACGACTAAGACCAGAATCACAATCAACCTGTGAAGTTTAGATTCTGACTGGATCCAATTTCAATCACAATAGCAGCATAAGTGACGTATATAAGTTTAGGAAAATTGAAAACTGCCAAAACCAAGCTGAATCCAGCATACTAATTTCAATGTATTTAACAAAATGTCCTAATAACGTATATAAATTTGCAAAGATAACTATGGAGTTTTGAAGTTTATTAGCACAACGTAGAATGCACTAATTCCACAAGCAAAAGAACCATGGCAGGGACATGAAATTTCATCACTCGTGCCAGCATCACATTAAAGGTGTACAACTGTTAAGATCCCAAACAAATAAGCAATAGGAGGTGCCACATAAACATCAAGCAACTAAATCATATCAGCAAGAGGTTCTGCTTCCAAGAGGCTCATATCATTATCGACAAAAAAAGCCAAATGAGGCACTTTCATCATTTCTTCCTGTGAATATCTACCTTATGTTGATAGCTACTTTCCTGTTTATTATGTTAAATAGGGTCCCCACAAATAGGAAGTTGCACCCTATAATACCTTGACACTGTGCTCATACATGGACATAGTACTTGCCACTTGATGTGCTAAATCTCTTCATCATCACCAAATTGAAAGAGGTGAATAAAAAAAGAGCTATATCCTATGGAGAGAGAACACAATTCAAGTTTCCATTTGCCTCCTGGTTTTAGGTTCCATCCAACTGATGAGGAGCTCATCATTCATTACTTGCAAAACAAAGTTGCCTCACGTCCACTTCCAGCATCTGCAATTGCTGAGATAGATTTATATAAATATAATCCATGGGAGCTGCCCAGTTCTGAACCATTACCTCTTTAATATAGTCATTTCCCTCTCCCTTTGATTATGGGATAACAAGACTGATTTTGTTCCCTATACCACATTATTTTTGCAGAGAAAGCCTTGTTTGGAAAAGATGAATGGTATTTCTTCAGTCCACGGGACAGGAAGTACCCAAATGGAGCAAGGCCTAACAGAGCTGCAGGTTCAGGTTATTGGAAGGCTACTGGAACTGACAAGCCTATACTCAGTTCTTAAAGATCAAAGCAAATTGGAGTCAAGAAAGCTCTGGTCTTTTACAGGGCTAGATCTCCAAAGGGGGTTAAGACAGACTGGATCATGAATGAATACAGACTGCTTGGGACAGCAACTAAGTCATCAAAATCCAAAGGTGCCATGAGAGTAAGTGGCTAACCAGGATTAATGATTATGATTATTAAAAACTTTTATCAAAAATCCAAGAAACGACAATAGAAGTTTTCTGATAACATAAAAGAATTTGTGATTAAGCATAATACAAGTTACAGAAGCTAATAATTTGCTCCACTTTGAAAATCAGAAGCAAACTGCAAGAAACAGGGAGATCCGTCATTAATACTCCTTTATACTTTGTTCCTTTTGTTGTTTAGAGCCATAAGATCAAACCATCTGGAAATTCTTGTAGATAAAGAAGCATTTAAACTTGGCAGCAGGATAACAGAAACTTTAGTTTTTCTTCTTCATGTGGAAAATATTGCCTCTGTTTTTTGCAGTTGGATGATTGGGTTCTATGTCGGGTACGGAAAAAGGGAAATACAGAAGATGACATATGTGAAGTTCAACACAGCCAAAGCACAGAATTGATGAGGTATTTATGCAGGACTGAGGGGCACCCTACATTCACGGACCATAAAAATGCTATGATATCAGATTGTCTGAAGCAAGATTGCCAACTCTTAGCTTCCTTATTAGCTGGCCAAATCTCATCCACCATGGAAACTATTTCAGGTTCCAACTTCCAATGGAGAAGAGACTGTCAATTGCACCTCAGTTCATGAACATAGTTCTTAATCTTCTGATAAAGTGAATTTGCCCATAAAAATTTCTTCTTTAGATTTAGATGGTTATTTCAACACACTAAATAGGAATCCTGATGTTGGAAATGGGCATGGGAATATCCTACCATCCAACCAGAAACTAAGTGGTGACAACAGAATTGAGGATCCTCTTGCTAACAAGGCAGTGGACAACAACGCTTTGAACTACTACAGCCAAACCCAGTATGAAGGTGGGATCTACAACTCTAATTCGTCAGATTCATCTATCAAATTCCAGGGACTCAAAGAATTGGCCTTCCCATATTGATACTTGCAGTAAATAAAAATTCAAGTTAAGAGACCATACAGAGAAGATGAAGAGCACAGAGAATGGATTACCATGCACGCTGACTGGCAGTCAGTAAACCAAATCAGCAATCTATAATCTATATATCATGTGTAGCCTTATGTGATTCTTCATGTGAGGCATGTTGAGTTTCTGTCCATCTACTCATGAGTTTTCTTATTTAAAACTGCTGTAAGGTTTACAACATATTTTTGAAGCACATTAAAGAATCTATTGAGAAAATGAAAATGTTCTCAAACTAAGCACTAAGATCTTAAAAAAAGAAGTATTAAGATCTGAAAATAACATTTTAAAGACTATTATTACAATAAACACATCATAATCCCCATCAAAATGCATAATCACCATAATCTGAAAGGTCAAATAGACAATGAAGTGACCAATCCAAAACAGTTTTCCCAGGCAACAACAATAAATGAAATGGACCAAATATTGAAACACATAGACAAGAGCCCCCAAGTAACAGAAGAACCTTATACCTTACAAGATTACATTCAAACAAGATGTAGAAGAGGCCTTCAAAAGCAATTTATTTCAGTATACTGCAAAAGCAATGCAAAATTTCATTAGGAAATGACCATGAAAAAAGATTCCATTGGCAAATATTCTGTATCAAATTTATTAGATAATGAATGTTTTGCTTGCCAGAAGCTCTAACATAAGCAGTATTGAAGAAAGCCACAAAAGGGAGTAATATACTAAAATTGTATAAATACTGAACCCACTTGTATAAATAAGAAGCAACTCCCAGAAAAACACACAACAGAATGATGTCAATGCAGAAGTTCCGACTTGAACGCAGCTGCAGCAATCACAAAAGTTTCAGAATATTTGGGCAAAGAATTGTCTAATGAATCATTGTAAATTATATAGATGGAAACCATAAAGAATTGCCTAAGGAATTCTCATTCATTACCCGGTTGACTGTTTCCTTGAGCTTAACATTAGTCTTTCTAAGATCACCCGTAGTCTTGTCCACCTATTAAAACATCATTGAGGCAATAAGTGATGCATTTATGGACATAACACCAACTTTGTTTGTTTTTAAAATCAAACTGAAGGGACAAGGGTATAACATAAAGTAACAAAAGTTTCACCTTTGTTTCAATTTCATCCATCAGAGGAACTTGCCTATCCAATTCCTGAACATAACAACAAAAGGATTAATCTCTAATGGTTTCTAACGTCACTGTCAAACTGTCTTTGATGAAAAATATCCACCTCATTCATATCTTGAGCCAAACATTTAAGTGTATCCAATCCTTCAGATATAACATCAAGACCTTGATCCTGCACAGATATCAAGTAGAATCAGGTGAGAATGCACTCCTCAGCAGCAAATAAATATGGTACAGATTACACAAACATGTCTTATCCCCTCTAGAGGACAGGAAGAACTATCAAAAGCAATTAGGAAAAAAATTCAAGAATCTTACATGCCTGTTTCATTTTCCGCCTTTCATATTCCTGTCTAAATTGACTTGATTCTTCACTTTGCTCGAAAAAATTGTTGTCAAAGTCTGTATCTGATGTCGTAGCTAAACAATAAACAACCAATGGTCAATTGAGGATCACATTCAGGATAACCATGACTTAATAAAGAAAATGACTAATACAAATTACCAAATGAGTCAAACAAAATATTTTTGTTAGATGATGAAGCTCCCCATCCACCAGTTTGCTTGGATGCAGACATGGTCCCATCTTGAATTTCTTTAATCTTCTCTGATAGTGCAAAAACCAGATCCACACGAGCTTCTTGTTCTTCTTCTGAAAGCCCCTTCACCTGTGATTAGACAGAAATAGGACTGTTGCTACAAGTCCACTTCAACATATAAATCTAAGTAAAGTCATATTTAGGACATATGCAAGTAAAATTGGATACAAGAAACATTTCAAGTCATTTACTTTTGGAATTATATGTTAATCTCTATAGTTTTGTTGACAACTCAGAATTAAATGGAAAAGATTGAGTGTATCTACCAAAATACTAAATGAAGCCTAACTCTTCAATATAAATAAACAAGAAACAGAAATTATCTTCAGTTTTCAAGTAAATCTGTTTATTTCTTCTTCTTTACTCTCTTGTTATCTAGAAATTTGGTCTAAGGACGTGATATTGATCAAACTTCACTTCCTCCACTAAACATCTTACTAGCATTGAATTTCCCAAAAACCAACTGCTAAACTGCAGAACTAGATTACATTATTCATTTTCCAAAAACACACACACACACACACACACACTTCTAGGTACAGAAAGATGCAACTTTTAACAAATTAAAATGATCAAACATTACATATTGTGTTTGTTCACGGGAATACTTATGCCTAAATGATGTTGTTTTGTAGTTGTAATCATCATAAATAATAATTTTAAAAAGCTGAAAAGGAAGCAAGCAGTAAATGCTTATTAATATTGTATCAGAGAACAAAACTCTCCTTGAACTTCACAATTAAATGATCCATTTTGGGCCCACCTAGAAAATTTCTGGACCTGCTCAAGCAAGGAGCATGCTTAGAATGGATGATACCTCCTCACAAAACCAAGGCTGATTTTCGTTGGAACTCTCAGATAAAATGGTTCCAGAAAATTTCTGAAAGAAATGATCAATTTCTTTTGATTTTTGATAATGCAAAGAAAATCAACCCCACACCAAGAAGGCAATGCACCATTAGGCATCCATCATTATGAGACACATGCTACCCCACTGGAGAATAATCACTAATTCACTATAACCAAGAAAGGCTACCTAAAGTTAACCTGGTTAAAATTTTACAATTCACAAACAGAGCTCCAATATCATATTTCTGTTCAAAAACACACCACTCTCTGGCAAGCAATAGGACAGTTATCAACCATAGAAGCAAGAGAACGTAAAGTTTCCTCTGGCATTAGCTCCAAACTTGTGCTGATATGCAACCAAGAAAAAAACTAGACAGTAGGACAACTCACAAATCTTAGTACATGTTTATGAGACCAAAGTTCTCTTGTCCCCTTCTGGTCCCTTTTATCTAGAAATCATAGCTTCCAGGCTTATTTCTTCTAGAATTTCCAAAAGTACTAAATTCTTTGTTTTTTGTCATCATGGTTTCCAAGCAGTAAGAACTAACGATATCTCTCTTTGAACAGTACATGTGATTCAAGCCAAGCATGCTGTGAATGTCCAAACAGGAAAAGGTTCTTATCTAGTGCTAGTAAATATAAAGTAATATTATCCAATTTTCTATCTCTAATAAACACTTAGAAAATACAAAGTAACATGTCATTGATTTTAATGATTCTCAAAAGATATATATGTCATAGTTATGCGTGATTTTTTGGAAATGCAAAGTCGATTATATCAACCTTCTTTTTAGCCAATTTCTGCAGCTTAGGAATCTCTTCCATTAATCGAGCCTTCAGTCGACGAACCTCAGCGCTCATCGCAACGGCAGCCGCCCTGTTTTTCTCCATGGAAATCATCTCAGCTTTCTGCAATAATTTAAATTTGGAGTACATTAAATGAGATCAACCTTTGCTTCGTTTCTTAAATGAAAATTTCGAACTAGAAAAAGCCTAATTATGATACGAAATTACATTGTCAAATAAGAATCAGAACGTGAAATCGGGAAAAGAAATCGAACCTGGACAGCTTTATCGATTTCTTCTTCCATTTGAGCGTACAGGCGAGCGAAGGCATCGTCTCCATAGGCATTTTGCTGGCGCTGCTTGTCGACGTCGTACCTGTCGTACTTCTTGCAAATCTCGTCGACTCTGAAGAGAATGTCGATTACGCTCATTTTCGGTGTCGTTGTCGCACAAGGGTGGTGGAGAGGAGAGGAAGTCCGTTTTATCTTGCTTTGATTCCACCATTATTTCTTTCTTCTGTTCTCTGACTCTAATTTTGGAGGGAGCTGTGGGCAAATGAGGCGTCGAGAGCGAAGATCGGACTATGTAAGGACCTAGAATGGAGACGACAGGAGAACATTTGGCGGGCCTGTACCTTTTCACGCGGGGCTGGGATTTTGCTTGCTCCACAACATCCTCGGGAGTCTGGACTGGTTTTGAGGTGGACCTGGTTTTTCCATTTTTTTCTTTTTTTAAATGGTTGTCAGGC